GCCGTTGAAAAGGAGTCCAGGTCCAGTGCTCCCAATGCCACCTCTCAGCTAGTGAGAAGCGGAGAGCAGGCAGGAGCCCGGGGCCCAGCCATCACACTGCATCAGAGGCAGGGGTGCAGTCCAGTGAGCTTCAGCCCCAGGAGAGGCTGGGGCTGGGGCTGCATTTGCCAGGGGAGATCAGCAAGTGGGTTACAGGGCCGGGAAGATGCAGAGAAGGGAACCGTGAAACCCCACAGCTCCTCAGTACCCAGGGCAGTTTTCACCCAACCAGCACAGACCAGCTCCTGCCGCCTCTCCCAACCCCCCTGCCAGGCACTCGCATGTGATTATAGCTACCCATCAGTGGGGAAACTGAGGCAGTGAACAAAGCTGTGGTTTACCCCATGCCTGCAGGAGCTGAGCTCAGACCACTGGACAACACTGTCCCCCTCCCGTGTAAGGAACACACTTGGCACTTCCATGCAGACGCTGGTCCTGGGCCAGCCCCCCTTGACCACCGCTGGCCCCTTGAGTTTGGGCCCAGCTCTATGGGACCCCGGCCCATGCTCCTGACCTGGCTCCACGATCGCCTGCAGATGCTTAGCCATAAAACGCAGCCAGCAGGGGATGCTTTTTCCTAGATGACCTCCCTCAACCAGCTTCTCCCAGACTGCAGGGGTATTAACTTATGGCCAGCAGCAAACACAGACTCGTTCCACCAGGAACTGGCTTGGGGTTGCCGGAGTCACCTGGCCAGCGGGTCGGGCAGCCCAGACTCTTCTTTCCATTTTTAGCACGTTCCACTCCCCTCCTGAGTGTTTTGTGCCCGGGGGGCCGGGAGGGAGGGAGGATTTGCAAAGCCCTGATGTGTCGATGAAATGCAGCTCCAGCGGGGGCTGGTTGTGCTGCTCGAGCCAGGATTGTTATTGCCTTCCCCAGCCCGCAGCTTCTTGCTGGCCTGGCGCATGGTGCTGGTGTCTCATGGCTGCCTCCTACATTGCTCCTGCTGGGACCAGCCCCATGGGACAGCACTGGAGTTTCCTCAGTCTCTGCTGCAAGGCGGCAGCATGTTGCCTTTATGGAAAACACTGCCCTGCTTTATCTGCAAAGGGACTAGGCCATCTTAGGCTTCTTAGACCAGTGTATAGGTGTCTCTGAGATCCTCAACACTCCCACTCAGCCATGCCCAGGCCGGGTGGTGCCTATAGTCCCCAAGTACTTAGGTTTCTCCTGGCAAAGTCCCCTGGGCTCCTACGTCTCTGCCTCTGGGCAAATGCACTGCACCAAGCTCACATCTCAGACCTAGCTGCATTCACCACCCATGCTTCCTCCTCCTCTTTAGGTGCCCAGCTCCAGGAAGGAGACAGCACTGGAAAGGTGGGCAAGACAGTGCCTGGGTTCAGGTCCTGGCCTCACTGACCCTGAGGAAAGTGAAGGAGTGGGCAGGTCTCAGCCACATTGGGAGGCTCATTTGTGGCTACAAGGGTTGGGGACTTGGCAGCATGGTTTAGCACAGCCACCACAGGGCATCTGAGCATGCCCCCACCCCTGGCCGGGATCACGGAGTGGTGACAGCACAGGGCTGGGGCAGAGCTGTGCTCCGTCCCTTGGATGTCCCTGCCTGCAGAACCAGTGCCCGTCACAGGGATGTGCGGGGAGTGGATCGTAGCTCTGCCCCAGCCCCACTGTCACCACCCCGCTATCCTGGGGTCTCTATGGAGACCAGCTGGGAGCCAAGCGGGCAGGGCATGTGGCTGAGCTTATGGGATGGGGCCATGGGCAGGCAGGGAGCTTAATTTGGGGGCAGGCCTGGGACCTTGGGGTGGTCACAGCACAGAGCTGGGACTCGGGGCAGAGCCATGATCCATTTCCCCACCACCACCACCGTGCCCCTGCCCATGGCACCAGCGCCCATCGCAGGCACATGCGAGCAGTGGATCACAGCTGTGCCCCAGGTCCCAGCCCCTTGCTCTCACTGCCCCAAGACCCCAGGGTCTCCCTAGCCCTGCTCACCTGTCTTGCTCCTGAATACTGCTCCCTGACAGTCCATGGTCCCATCCTAGCTGCCTGGCTGAGAGCCCTACCCCCACCGGTCCCACCCCCAGCAGTGGGTTTGGGGCGCATGGACCAGGGTGCTCAGGTAGCGGGGTCAGGTTTGGCAGCGGCAGCTGGGAGGAGCCGCTGCCCCTAGGGCTGCCAGGAAGTGAGTCCAGCCACCACGCTGCCCCAACCCTCCTGCATGCCCAGGGGCAGTGGGACCAGCTGTGTACACTATGGCCCAAGCTGCCCCCCGTGCCTGGGCTGCGTGGGACCAAGGGACCCACCGCAGGTCAGACACAAACCCTCAGTGGGCCAAATCTAGCCCTCAGGCCATATTTTGCCCACCTCTGCTCTAAAGGTTGAGACCAAAGTTTCCAGATTGCCAGTGCACAGTCTCTTACCACAAAACTCCTCTCACCCCCCTCCAAAATCCTGGCCATTCAACCACTGGGACGTGGGTCAATTTATCCCTCCATAAAGAATCAACAGCTTTCCCCTACAAATAAGTAGCCTGACATGATGTACCTTGACCGCGACTCATCGCTCAGTGATCACCAAACAAGTTTCATTCATTAAAGCTGATTCTTTTAAGTCATGTGGCTGGAACTACATTTCCCAGAAGCATATGGATGTGCAGTCAGGGCATCACCCATTTCTTCCCAGGTATAAAAGGGAAGGAATTAGCAGCTGTTCCTCTAAGCCTCTGTATTTAACTTCATTCCTGGGCCTGTTGGTGACTGTGATAGCGATGGGGAGGAAGATGCATTATTTTTCAGCAGCTCTGGTTCATCCCATGCTCCAGCCAGTTGCCAAGTCACCTGCAAACAAGGTACTTTTGGCACTTGCTATAGACGGTGGGCTGTTGTTTGTCTCCCAGCAAACCTAGCACTGATAATCAAAGCAGCTCATCATGCCATGCTGTGAGCATTTCTCCCTCCTCAGTGCACCATCTGTTTTGAGTTCAGATTTTGGCCTAGCTGAGGAAAAAGCTTGCTGGCCAGGAAAAGCAGGCATGACAAGTATGTTCCTTCTCTCCCTGACCTGGGTTGTGGTGGCTGGTGGTCTTTGTGTCTGGTTTGCATCCATCAACCCCTCATATCTGGGATGCTACAGAATACCACTGTTCTACTGAGAGCCTTTGAAAACTCCAAGTAACCATCACTTACAGGGCTAAAGCAAGGCTCCAGTGTCTCCCAGTAACTGCACAGACTACATGGATGCTGTTGTGTGGGCTTTCCCTGCAAAGAAACCCTCTCTGATGCTGTTGGCTTGCATCACTGCCTTCTGCCACTTGTGGCCTCTTATGGGTGATGTTGGCAGTGTGAGCAAATTGCCATCAGGCAGCTAGTTACTGCTCGTCCAGTTAGAAAAGCTCCCAAGGTCAAATGCAGCTGGGAGGCTTATACTCATGCAAGCAGTGACTTGGAGGATATTGGTTCCATGTCAGGCAACAGTTGATCAGAAACCGTGTGTGTGTCAGTCCTACTGATGTGTGTGTCTGTAGGCATGACAGACTTGCACCCAGCAAGGAGCATGGGGAGGGTGCAACAGGGAAAGCTGCAAGTAGGAGAGTATGAGACCGTGTCCTCCATTCCCATGCAGTGCAATATAGCCACATCCTCCCTGGTGCTTCTGTGGGCCAAATTTATGCTTAGTGCAAGCACTAATTCCCAGGTGGCTCCATCTCCCTGTCCATTGCCCCGGCATAGTTCTGTTGCTTCTGGTGGGGTCGCTCCAGCTCTATTCCAGTGCATCTGAGATCAGACCTGGTCTCATGATCTGCACACCAGTGCAAAGACAAACAGGTTGCTGGCTTGTAGACCAGAGCTTTCTGGGGTGTGTGGAAGCAGAAGCTGGTGATTTAGCCTTAGATGCCCAAGTGTGCATGCTGATTTGCAGAAGTGGGAGGCACCTGGAGCTGGGGTGACCTCCATGTGAACAACATGATGTAGGATAGGCACTTGGGAAAATCAACCTGTATATTTAGCATTCAGACTTCCCCTAAAAGTGAGGGATGGCTGTGGAAGCCAAGCTTTAGATACCCATTCTCAGAAAGCTCTGGATCATGGGTGCTAACCCAGAATTAAATCCGTCGGAGCTGCAGTTAGATGGCCCTAGGCCTGTTCCTAAGGTAACTCGCTGTGTGTTCGTGTGGCTGTGATTACCACAGCAGGGTGGAGACGGCTGTCCGGGGAGGCCAAACAGAAATGGCTGCAGAATGGTGGGATTCACACTCACCCCCAACTCTGAGAGACTCGTGCTTACAGTCCAGCGCTCTGAGTACCGGGGAGCTGCAGCACAAGGGCTACAAATGCTATGCTTTGCAGGTGCTAATCAAAGTACCTGATTGCTGATTTGTCTCTGGTTTGTGCTGTTAAGCACATGCAATGTGCCCTTCCACCCCTTGTAAGAAATGTGCAAACCACCCCCTAACAGTTTTCTACCTATGTTGTAAAGAGCTTGCTGGTCACAGCTCTGTGGGCAGGCCTATTCCAGCAAACCCCCATGGCACAAGCCGCAAAACAGGGTGGGCCACCCAGCCCACTTTTAGCATGTTCATTTATATAACCCACAAATCCGCAATTGTCATTAGGTTAAGACTGTATAGCTACTTCTTTTAACTGTGTAGCTAGCTAAATTAATGTGCTAAAAGTTGGTCAGGCCATGGCCCAGGTGGCCCATCCCATTCTGCAGCCTATGCCCCATGGAGAGACAGTTTGTACCAGCAAGAGGATTCTCCTACTGAGAGAGCGTCAACTGGCTCCCCTAATGGACTAATCCATATGAGCACAAGTCTCTTGCTCTTGTAACTAATCCTAATAGCAGGCACATCTGGCTTAGGAATGGCAGTGAGGGGTGTAGGTGTTCCCCTCACTTCTCGCCAACTATGCTGTTTTCTTGCTCTGAAATCCATCACCAGTAAACCAGTAAGATGCCGCCTCCTGGGGATGAGAGCACTTCATAAAATATACGCACTTGGATTCAGGAAAAAAACCACATCCTTTTTAATGCAACAAACAAGAGAAAAATCCAGCCTAGAAGACTAATGTGTTAGTTTTATTTCAACATGATCTGTTGGTGCGAAAGTAAGAAATGTTCTTTTTATAAAACATTGAATAAATAAATAAATAAAAATAAATAAATAGGCACAACTTTTTTCCATGACAGAGTTTAGAAAGCACATGGTAAGCATCCGGGGAGAAATGGGCACTGGAAAGCATCCTTCAAGAGTGCTGGGAAGTGGCTTTAATTCTTCCTGGAGCCTGCAAGCAAAACAGAGACAAAGTTATTGCCACTTGCTGTGTCTTTCAGGGCTTGTAGTTACCCACATCGCCCTTCTCACCAGAGGTCTCGACTAAAAATCAGATCAAATTGCCCAAGGCAGCTCTCTTGCATAACCTCTAGAAAACTACTTTGCCCCTGAGGCTTTACTCTGCTTTGTGAAACGTGTAGCAACTTTCATCCATAGATCTCCTTGAAAGAGCTGCACAGTGGTATCGCATGCTGTGCTAATATGCTGTTGACGAAGGAGAATGCAAGTAAAACAATGTCTAGGGCATAATATTAGAAACCATGCCTGAGCACTTCTTAATGAAGGCACTGTCTTTTTAAAATGGTATTAAAATATTCCCTTCCCCACCTCCTCAAAAAGAGGATTTATCTGATACTAGTTAGTTACTGCGGTCGGTGCTCAGCTGGTGGGAACCTGTATCACCCTGTTGATTCAACTGTTCTGGCTCACACCAGCAAAAGATCTAGTCCTAAATCTGTACCAAACAAAACTGCTCCCCATCCTCTCTGTGCTTGGGTTTCCTTGTGGCATGTCTGTTGGCAGGGACAAGGGAAGCAGACCAGCTTGATGCACTGGTTTGCAGTCCCGGCTGGCTGAAGTGGGGAAGTGTGTGGATACGGACAAAAGGCCATTTCTGCAGAGCTCTTCTATCGAACCCTCTTTAAAACCCTTCTGTCTTTTTGGAGCTTTCCTTTTTTCTTTAAGCAAACATGTGAGGCTGACAATGTGAGCCCCATGTAAGGCTGAAAATGTGTATGATCTCTTCCAAACCTGGATATCTCTGGCACTTGAAGCACAATCTCCCAGGCTTTCTGCGGTGCCCACCACTGCGGTATCTAGGCACTTTGCATTGCCCAGTGTTCAGGTAACTTTATCAAGTGCCACTAGTTTGCACAATGACTTATCCACAGGGTATGGCAGGGCCAGGCCCAGAGAGTTGTTTCTTGCCCACTGAGTCAACTATCTCACTAAGGTGAGATGAACATTGGACAAGGGGGAGCCAGGGCACCAGTCTGGGAGGAGAGTGAAGGGAAGCAGCATTGCTTGGGTGGTGGGTGCCTGACCTTGAAGGATGCCTAGGCGGAGGGAAAGCATGGCAGAGGGCCCTGAAGTGAGAGAGGGTAAAACTGAAGGGCTGGGGTGAGCATAGGGGGAGTGAGAACTGATGGCCAAAGTGTGCAAGGGGGGTTATAAGGGGACTCACCATTGCAGCCCATCCCGCTCAGGGACCCGATTCTGTCAATCCTCCTCCCAAAGCAGCCGGAGTCGCGCATCATCTTGGGGGCCTGCAGCCCCCTCAGCCTCTTGAGGAAGGAGTCACGGTAGGACTGAGGGGCACTAGGGGTGAATCTGGGCTCAGGCTTTGGGACATCGCTGTCCTCTAAGAGTTCTGCCGGCATCTCTTCCTCCGCTTTAGGCTCCTGCAGGTCGGGGCTAGACTCCAGGGCTTCCATCAGTGAGAACTTGTCCTCCAGCCTCTCCAGGAGTGCCTGCAAGGGAAACGCAGACTTCAACCTCCATATCCATGGGCTTCTCACTTTCCTTTCCACCCATGTTGTCTTGGCATCACCCCTCAGCCCCTCGTCCTAGCCAGTGGCGGTGCAGTGGGGGCAAACTGGAGAACCGTCAGGCTACCAATGACCAGCAGATCTTGTTTTTCCTCCTTGTCCAACCCAGACTGGTCTGATTTTTCTTACTGCAAAAGCACCATGCAGCCCTAAGCAAAGGTCAGAGGAGCTGGCACAGATGGCAGTGACACTCCTTGCAGGGAAGGGGAAGTACATTGGGGAAGGAGTGAAATCCAGGTCTGCATCCTCTCCAGAAGGATGTACCTGACTGTCTCCCAAATGGTGCACAGCTGTGGGGCATTTCTGGGGCCATCTCTCATAGTGTCTCTGGCTGAAGCTGCTGCCTGCAGTGCAAAGCTTGGGCTAGCCAGGAGGCTGCCAGCTGTGCAGTCTTCTGCAGACCTCATGCCGATTCACCCCATCTCTGCCACCTTTGGGTTACTGCAATGGGATTTATATAGGGAAGCTTTTGAAGGAAGCCCCAAAGCTGCAGTCAGTGCAACTCAGTGCTGCTGCCTCCAAGTAGAATGGGCATTTTTTTTAAGCCTGCCCTCATGGCAAAATTTTAAATTGGTTGGTACTGCCTTGACTTACCCTAGGAGCAGGTTGCCCTACAAAGACTGCTCAGATCAGCTGGGAGCTGATCCTAGGGCTGGATGCCCTGGGGTGAGGAGCAGGTCTCTTTGGATGTACTGCCTTTGGCGGCTTGCACGAGCAGAACCTGGCAAGCTTGGAGGCATCGTGCAAAGCAATTAGGCTTAACTCTTGCCAGTCCTCTAGCAGCCTCGGGGCATGTCTGCTGCTCTCTGGTCCCAATCCAGCAAAGTAGTTGGGTACATGTTTAGTTTTAAGCACCTAGCTAACCTCACTGCATCTTGCAAGGTTGAGTCTTAATTTTGTATTGAACCCTAGGCTGATATAGCAATATAGCCTGTGTATAAACATAACTTCTTAGTGCTGGATGCTGTTCTGAATGAGCACACAGTGTCTCTGTTTAAACACAGTACAAGGTCCATGTAAGACACGTGCCAGCAGCACCCCACCCCAGCCCACGTATTCACATGCTGCCCGTGTAAATGCACACTGACAGCTTCACTGTTCTCTGCTTTAATGCACCTGTGATTCAGTGAGAGATTTCCAAGTCTCCTTTCTTCCCTGGGAAAGTGGCAGCCACCCTTTTCTGAAGTCCCTCTTGGGGACTTGCCTCTACTTTTGCTCAGAGCAGGTGTTTGTGCTGAGGAGGCAGGCGCTCCACAGCTGGATGGCTCTCGGCATCCCTCTGAAGGGATCGGAAGGTCTCAGGACTTCCCCAAGCAGAATGCAACCCCTCTCTTGCAAAGGGTTAAAGCTGACAGGGGGCATAAAGGTGGGGTGCCCCAGCCAGATTTCTGCTTGTAAATCTGTGCCAGATGGAGTAGCTGCCCTAAAGAGAACAGGTGACACCGCATCCTACCCCACTAACACTAATATTACAAAGCAGAGTCCTCACCTCCATGCTGGCCAGTTCTTTGGCAGGGCTGAGGCTGTAGATGGGGTTGGCTCGGTTGGACTGGAACTGGAGGAGCAGCAGCAACAGGAGTCCGTAGAGAAATGAACCTTTTGTGTCCATCCTGCTGGGTTGGTTTGGAATAGGAGCAAGTTTGAGCTTCTTCTGAGAGGTCCCTTCTGGTCTCGATGGCTCACTCCCTCGTTCTGTTCGCTCCTCTTTCTGGCTGCTCTTTTATACTCTTTGGGTGTGATCCCTGCTTCCTAGGTTATCGGGGGGTTTATCGGGGGTACATTCCAGTCCCACAGCAGGCATGCAGCTCTGTCAAAAGAAGATTCCCTTTATTAGCTGTCATTAGGAGGTGGCTGCTACTGAGGAATGTCTGTCACAAGTCAATGATTTCATGTCGCTCTTTCCCCACCCTCCCCTCCTTGATACCAGGCACTGAGATTACATAGTCCAGCTAGAAATTCTTAGCAATTTTGTTACAAGAGACCCCCATAGTCCGATTCACGGGGATGGGAAAACAACTTTGAAATGGCTCTAGATTCCGCTTAATAAGGAGCTTTCGGGAAGGAAATGCCTTATATAGAGAAAGAAGAGGCCAAAGACACCAGCTTCAGGGAGGGTAGAAACAGAGGAAGGTAAACTTCCTTCTAAGAGATCAAGTGTCTCATAGGCTTCCCTGTTATATGGAAAACCTCCAGCTGCTGCATGCTGTGGCATGTACTGAAAATCTCCGGTTCTGGGCTCTTTTCTCCATGGTTTTAAAGGCAATCGTGCTACACTGCACGGTCTTTACGTTACTCACTTGTACACTGCCTACAACAGCAGGGTCCTGATCTGAGGTGCTTCAGTGCTATTGTAATAGTAATAACTCTTGGAGGGACACTTTAGGGTTGCTGAGCCTTTCCAGAATTACTTTATTAGCAACGGCAAGTGCCATGCCTTTGAGAATTGGGATGCTAGTCACACTTAAGTCGACAGGAGTTTTCCATAAGCATGGACTACAGGGTCTGACTGTAAGTAACTTCAAGGAAATGTAGAGGAAATCCCATTCAGAGGAGACTGCTCCTGAGACATGTGCTCACGGTTGCGTCGGCTTGAAAGAGGATGTTTGTGGCGTGAAATCTGAGTGAAGCTTTTCAAAACCTGGTTTAAGAGAATGTGCATGTCTGGGCGGGGTTAGGGTTAGAGGGGGGTGTACACAAATGTATGTATTCAGTGCAAGAACAAATAGGTTCTGTTTTGTTAGAGTTCACTATTCTAGCATTCAGCTGATTTTGGAAGTCCGAATAGTGATTGATGGTGATTATGCTGAATCTGTATATTCCTAAATTATCTGCATTTACTTTTCAACTCTATATGAGTAAAAGGGGGGGGTGGTAACAGTGTCTCGGTTTGCAAGGGTATTTTAAGCTATGAAATATACAATGTACTTTGCATCTTGTGTGACTGGCTTCCCATGTTAGAGATGAAGGTAAAGAGTGACTCTGTGCCGGCACTGCATTTCCTAGTCTGAGTGAATCTCCAGCATTTTAAATGATGAAAAGTCAGAGCTTGAAAAGAATTTCCTGAAATATTTATTAAAAAGGATATGCTGTTTGTTGTTCGCATACAGTGTGTGTGACTATATAAACACTGTGCGTACGCATGCGCAAATCCCCAGCTTGACTAGGGCATTATGAAGGCTGCAAGTCAAACGCTCAAAGGTTAGAAAATGCCAGAATGAAGCTTTCCTCTGCAACCTCAATTTGGCGCTCTGTACGTAGGTGCTACAATGGCCTCTTAATTACACTATCGTACCCTATTTTTTTCCACAGGACCTCTGCCTCTGTCAGTGCCCAGGGTGGGTGAACAGCTCTTGGCTGTTTTGCTCTCTCCTGATTGGGGTGACTCTGTTTTATTTATTGCATGCTCTTCAAATCCTTCGCTGAAGGCAGAACAATTAGCTGCTTTGCGGGCTTTGCTGCGTCGCTGGGCTCTGTAGGTTTTGAAGGCTCCATGGACTTCCATGTGCCTGTCTTCACAACACCTCTATGCAAAGAGCTTTTATTATCCCTGGTCTGACGATGGCAACTAAGGGGCATGGAGATGATGGTCTAAAATGTGCACACGCACACGCACACGCACACACTTTTTAGGGTGGGGAAGTGACTAATATGAGGCACCTAGAACCTGACTTCTCAGCGTGCTACTCCCTGTTCAGAGCACAGGTCAGTGGACTTTATGGCTATCGGACGGTCCCATACTCTTGTAAATCAGAGATCAGGGTCTTCATCTAGGTCTTGACCCAGAAAGCGAGGAACACTAATAGTGACCACATCTGAAGAGTTTAGGGTAAGTGACTTGAACTGGACTCTTAGAGGGTGTCTGTGGCAGGGATAGGAAGAAAATCTGTGTGCCTGCCACATTTTTAGGACCACATTTTGCCCATTCCCACCTCCCACCAGCTGCATTAAAGATACCGGAGTATATGACGGTGGGGCTTATCCTTGAGCGATGGGGCCCTGAGGAGACCAAAGCAGCGATGAAGCGGCGAGCTGGGCTCCCCGCAGCGGAGCCCTCTTAGCGACCAGCCGCTGCCGTGTCCTGAGATGTGCTCCCTCGCTGCTTACTCGGCTGTCAGTATTGTCAGGCATGGCCAGGTCTGGCCTCCACCCCATTGGAGCCTTTTTGCTCCCTGATGAACGCTTGGCTCTAGACGGGGGGGTTAAAATGAGCCATGGAGGAAACTCCTATTGCAGGGAGCTGCTCTGTCTGGAGTCGGTAACGTCATATCCAGCGTCTGTGGCTGTGTAGACATCAGTCACCTGGGGAATGGGCTGTCACGCTGCTGTGGCGTGCTCTTTGACGGGCTTGGTCCCTGAAGCCCCTCGGTGCCGGGGAGACGGCAGCTCAGAGCAGCAGGGAGATGCGGAGATGCAGGACCTTGGACACAGCTGCCCCAGGGCTGGGGCTGTCCCTCCCTTCCCCCTGGGCAGAGGTCCTCCCCCAGTACCCCAGGGCCCAGTCCTAGCTGTGGGTCCTGGCGGGAGCTTGCGGGAAGGGCCGCTTGGTTCGTGGCTGACTCCCAAGGCCCGGGGGGGTGGGAGTGGGGGACGCACTTGCTTCTTTTCCTCCCCTCCCCCGGTGCCAGCTGCCCCCTCCCCTGCGGGCGGCCCGCTCAGCCCGGCCCGTCTCCTGCCCCCTCCCAGCCCCCGGAAGCCTCCCTCCTG